GAAAAAACTTAGTATTACAGAAAAACACCATATGGGATGAACAAAGTATCTATTAGATTAGAAAGTACACCCCCATAAAATGAGGAAATACCAACAAGCCAAAATTTGGGTTTTAGGGTTATGTCAAGGAGATCTGACCTTAGCCAAGTGCTGAGCAACATTTGTTTCTAGTGATTTATGCTAACATGACCTCCTTCCCAGCCCAACGGGCAGATGACAGCAGGAACAGTAAGGCAGCCGGGCTACTGTTTACAAATTGCCTGGTGAGATGATCAGAACCCATCTGGGTAAATTTTGATTACCCGTATGTCCCTAAGAGTCTATGGGAGGCTGATTTCTGGGGAGCAAATTTCAGCATTTGTAAAGGCAGGCACTGCACGTGAACTCCAGGGCAAAACTTTTTTGGGAAACAGTGGTTACGAATCAAACGCAGCATAGAGGGGCATTCACTACATCTCTGGAGGCTGTTCAGCAAGTGATCCTCACAGTCTCAGTCATTATTTCCATTCCAGCTTGTCTACCCTAAAATCTGGTAAGACAGTTGTGTTTCTGCCACACTTTTATGCAGTGAATGCAAATCTGTAGGCTTTCTTCTTTACATTCAGGCTTTAAAAAAAGGCCAAATCCCAGAACATCAACAATTTCTTTTTCTTGCTATCCCAAAGATAACCTTCAAAAAAGTATAAAATCTCTTTTACAATTCCAGTGAGAAACACACCTTTTCACTTAGAAATGACAAAGACAATTACGTTTTGGAAACGTTCTCTGGACACAGATCTCCCTTTATCCTTCACATGCAAAACCAGACTGAGCAGATGACGCATCCTGAATTTATAAGATTAAAACAAAAGACAGAAAAGAGAATTTGAAAATATTCTTCCCGTATGGTCTCATTTCTCCTCTTCCTTCACATGCCTCCAATTTCAACCGTAACTAGTGGTTTCAATAGAAACTATAATTGCAGCATCCTCACAGTCCCATGCAGGCAAAGAGCTGCAGTCTAGTTTTATTTTTCTTACACCCACCGAGAATTCTGTTTTGTTTCGACCTCTCATTACTCTCCCTCACTCAGCTCCAAACATCAAATTCCATCTCAGCCATTCAACATCTATTCCGTTGGGCTCCTTTTTTCCTCTTACCATTACACATACATATTGAACAGTTGGAACTAAGAAAAGGCACAATTAATGATTCTGAAATTTTCCAAAGAAAATGTTTTCACTTATCCCCAATTTGAAATTACTTTTTAGTTTAAAGAAAAAAAAAAAAGGATAAAAGTGCCTCCCATAAAACCTTGCATACACCTCAAAAACTAAATGGAACATTTTAGGTTGAACAAAGCTCTAATTTTTGAGAGGAGGTTGCTTTAGGCTTGCTTGCTTTTATTTCCTAAATCACATAAAAAGCCTAAACTACATCCCTGTTGCATCTTGGTGTGAAACCAATTTCTTTTATTATCACACAGGAACCAGAATAGCAGAGGACCTCTAGCCCTCAAACACCTAACAAGTCACCAGCCTCAGTGAAAATCTGTGCT